TGTAAAGCTCAACAATAGTGGCATGGGCTAGGACTACTAGGAGAAGGCTATGGTTCACCATGTAAGGTTCAGTGACTGAATTGCCTTCCCTGCATGGAAACCCTGCTGGAACAGAAAGCCTTCCTGGCGCATAAATTCCAAGGTCATATCCCAATTTGGCAATGATCAACGGCTTTTTGATTGCGATCCAATTTTTTACCCGATCTCCAAATGTTCTAAAACAGATTTCAGTGTAAGCCTTGAAATCATCCACAAAGGAACTTCAATGGGCTGAAAAGGATATGGTGTTAACTGCCCACAAAGGAACACATTGGTGAGAACTGCATTGGATTCCAATCATGCCTTCAGCAATTTTAGACCCTAAGAATTCATGAAAAGAAAATGATCATTTTGAATAAGATAAAAATACCTCCAACCAAAACAAAAACAAAGAGAACGCAAACCTCATCAATGCCTAGATGAACGATCCTCTCTTCAAGGGAACCAACTTCCTTAACATTAAACTTGTTCAGCATCACGATATGGTAGACATAGGCTTCACTTCCAAATTATCCATTATCATGTATGTAACAACACATACCCTCCTCCACCACCACCAGACGAACCGAGTATAGCTGAACGGATATTCTATTTTAATATATTGTATTTAAACATATAGCCGCGCTGCTATACTATTAATTACAATAAAAATTTAAAAAAACACGGCGTATCGCCGCGCGGCTATACTATTAATTTAGGAAAAATTAAAAACGCGTATAGCCAACCGATTATACCATTAATTTAGGAAAAATTAAAAAACGGAGTATAGCCGGCCGGCTATACTACTTATTTAAAAAAATTGAAAAAAACACAGCGCTCTTTTAATATATGAGTAATGCTATTTGGACACACAACATTGACACACTTAGTTGACACCCGTGGATGTGTCAATGTATCATTCGCTGAACAGAAAACGAGGAGAAAAGAAGAGCAAATGATACATTGACACATCAGCGGATGTCACTAAGTGTGTCAATGTTGTGTGTCCAAATAGCATTACTCTTATGTAACAGTATAGCAGCGCGGCGATACTATAATTAAAATAAAAAAATAAAAAATGGAGTATAGCCGGTCGGCTACACTATTAATTTCAGGAAAAAATAAAAAATGACGTCTAGCCGGTCGGCTATACTATTAATTTGAAAAAAATTAAAAAAGAGTATAGCCGCTCGGCTATACGATTTATTTTTAAAAAAAATAGAAAAATGGACCCAGGTATAGCCGATATTTATTATTAAAAAAAAAAAAAAAAAAAGGACCCGAGTATAGCAGAGTGGCTATACTATTAATTTCAGGAAAAAAAAAGGAATACCGTTTAAATATAAAATATAATATTTAAATAGTATAGCCGATCGGCTATACAATTTATTTAAAAAAAATGAAAAAAAGCTATACAGGCTTTACATTTCCCTCTCTGCCTGGCTCGCTTCACTGAATCACACTTCCCATCAAAGTCTTCAAGTTCAAGGCCAGAAAAGTGGTGGGCAATTCCTCATTTGAGCTCTCATGGAGCCTCCCAAGAAATCAAAGAAAAGCAAGAAAGATAGGAAATTGAAGAAAAACTTAAGTTTGGTTCCAGTCGAGCCTAAAGCCGCAGACTCTGACTGGTGGGATAGTTTCTTCAACCCAAGGTTTTTTCTTTTCACTAAGCTCAGTCTCCAATTACTCTGCTTCCTGCTTTTTAGTGGAATGCATTCTGATTACTTGTAGTTGTAACTAAATTATCTTTATATTTTGTTTATTTTGGAAAATCTATGATGCACAGACATCTAGAACAGGTGGTGGATTTTGTTCTGTAATGTTAAATTCGGTAATGATGTTCATAATTAGAGCTCAAAACCTATAAACTGTGCTTTTGTTCAGTTAGGTTGTTGGAAAAATTGGGCTAGGCGCTAGGCGGCCGCCTAGGCGGGTCTAGGCGGGTCTAGGCGGGTCCATATATTTTTTTTTCTGACTTTAGCTCAATTATGAAATCACTTCAATTTCTGATGGCCGCTATATGAAAACTGGCTTTTGTTTATGTGTTTTGCATCCTGAAAAGAGAAAGATGTGGTCGAAAAGTTATTGCTAGAGGGAGCAATAGAGATTTTAGCCTGTAAAATTAGTATGTAATTGTTAGGAATCTGGTTTGGCCTAAGTTGGATGAGTAGTTGGAAATCCTGACTGAATCAGACTTAGGGAATATACAGACACAGAAACACATAGTCGGGCTTTGCTTGTTGTTATATGGAAGCAAGTTTTTCTGTCTTCCTATTTCCCTTTTTGTAGATTTTTTTACTTTTTTTCGAGTTGATTTCTGTTTTGAACTTTCCATGATTACTTAACTTTATTCTGTTTGGGTGATGTAATTCATATGTGCTGCTGTGCAGATTCTTCACTATCCAATGATGAGGAGGAAAGTTTTAAGTATTTCTTTAGCGTCTCTGAGAAGACTTTTGACTATATCTATTCCCTTGTAAGAGAAGACCTTGTGTCGAGGCCACCGTCAGGTCTCATCAACATAGAAGGAAGGCTTCTTAGTGTTGAGAAACAGGTTGCAATAGCCCTGAGAAGGTTGGCATCCGGTGAGTCTCAAGTCTCAGTGGGAGCTGCATTCGGGGTAGGCCAGTCCACAGTTTCTCAGGTGACTTGGAGATTCACTGAAGCATTGGAAGAACGTGCCAAGCACCATCTTAAGTGGCCTGATTCCAACAGAATGGAAGAAATAAAGTCCAAACTTGAAGAAGCCTTTGGATTGCCCAATTGTTGTGGAGCCATAGATGGTACACACGTCATTATGACCCTTCCTACCGTTCAAACATCAGACGATTGGTGTGACCTGGAGGACAACTACAGCATGCTCTTGCAGGGAATTGTTGACCATGAGATGAGGTTTCTTGAAAGTTGTAACTGGTTGGCCTGGGGGCATGATGGTGTCTAGACTTTTAAAGTGTTCAGGATTTTTCAAGCTCTGTGAAGGTGGACAGCGTTTGAATGAAAATGTTAGAGCTTTATCTGGAGGAGTAGAGATTAGAGAATACTTAGTTGGTGGGGTTGGCTATCATCTTGGTATGTTGTTTACTTCACAATATAAGAATTGACAGTTGAGATATATTACAACCAGATGTTGCTTTATCTGGTCATCATTACTCGGGATATGGCGAACAATGCTGTAGGAAAGTTGATCCGTTGGGGAGGACTATGAGGGATATCCTAGTGAAACACTTGCTGCACCAAAGTGATTCTTGTTCTGCCAGTCTGGTTTGGTTTAAATGAGTTGGAAGTTTGGAATGGTTTCAATCTGTAAAAGTATTTGCTTCGGCAATTTCACCGGCACCAGCCATACATGACATGAAATGCTGAATTGCTTCTCTTATTTCACATTGACTTGCACAAAAAGAAATTTATGTATGTTTTCGACAGACTGTGAATCAGCCATCTTTGTATGGCGGCTTGGAAAGTAGAATGGAAGCTCATTTTGTCAGAGTCTACGAGAACTTGTAACACCAAAGAAGTTTAAAGCCAAAGATATCCCACAAAAATAATACATTTTTATTTTAAGCTGCGGCATACAACTCGTTAGTAACAAAAAGTAAGACAAGCAGCAATATATGTAAAAGAAAAATAATATGATAAACAAAGCAAACACCATCAGAGTGAGTTTCCTTTGATTAGAAGATGGGGCGTGGCATGTACAGCAGGATCTCAAAACTAAGCAAGACCCAATACTCTCTATAAAATATGGCAAAACAAGTAGAGCTCTCTAAAAAGAAAAACCTTATGGACAATGAGACAAAACTAATGCCTCATCATTACTTTAAAACTATACCATGGGACCATGAAATTCCATTGCTTCAATCTCCCTTGGTTGGGGGTTGTATGCATGCACAGAAGGGCGCTTTCTTGCATTTCTGGTTGGTTCTATTGCCACCATAGATATAGTCACTCAGAAGAACTCTTGTTTTCCGCTCCGCGATCCTTGTTGATTCTCTGCTTTCCTTTTCACCATCAAGTTTCAGAAGAATAAATTGCAGTTTCTGCAACTCCAACTGTAGCTGCCCAATTTTTTCGGGCCTCATTCTTCTCACAGACTCACACTCCCACTTTCATCCGACACTACCCCAGAAGCTCCATCAGAGAACAGAGGACCATCTTCAACGTTCTTCATCAATTTTTGATTGACATCAAACAACTTAGTGATGGCCTCGTCAGCTTCTTCCAGCTGCCCCTTCACGTTTTCAAATTCAATACCTTTGCCCTTTTCGCTCTTTTCAGTAATCTCCACCTTCCTCTTCAGGTCTTCCACGGTTATTTGAAGGTTTGTCAACTTTTGTACATCAGAATCAATATAAAAAGCAAGTCTTTCAAAAGACTTTCTGGCTAGAAGACCATACACGATGGCATTGAAGCGAAGAAAATAATTGCATTAATGAGAACTCATGGGTGCATGTCTAGATCATTTTTGAAGAGTTCATACTGGTTCAAAAGAGGACAGAAAATGTGCAGGACCAATCAAAAACTGCTAACCCATTATGGATAAGGAAATTAATGAAGTAAAACTTTAAGTTCCAGATAGAAAAAAAGAAGAGAGTATTGAAGCTTTAATAAATGGATCATCACCTCAGTCCAATTTCCCATTGCAGAGGGAATGTATAAACAGACATGGAGATTACCTCTGATTCTTCTGTGTCTAGTTTATGAGATGTGGCGTCTGCAAGCACATGCTTCTCAGGTGCTGTTGTACACTCCTTCAAAGAGATGACACCTGGAATATAGGCAGCCAACTGAGCTTGTAGCCCTGATAAACGACAATCAAGGAAAAAAAATTGAAAAAAAGAAGAAGAAGAAAAGATGCCATACTATTTATTAAAATATATTATATTTAAAGCGTACAGCCGCGCGGCTATACTATTTATTAAAAAAGAAAAACAAAGGCCAAAAAAGGCTATACAAGCTTTACATTTCCCTCGCTGCCTGGCTCGCTTCACTGAATCGCACTTCCCATCAAAGTCTTCAAGTTCAAGGCCAAAAAAGAGGTGAGCAATTCCTCATTTGAGCTCTCATGGCGCCTCCCAAGAAATCAAAGAGAAGCAAGAAAGATAGGAAATTGAAGAAAAAGCGTTCCAGTCGAGCCTAAAGCCGCAGACTCCGACTGGTGGGATAGTTTCTTCAACCCAAGGTTTTTCTTTTCACTAAGCTCAGTCTCCAATTACTCTGCTTCCTGATTTTTAGTGGAATGCATTCAGATTACTTGTAGTTAGGCTGTTGGAAAAATCGGCCTAGGCGCTAGGCGGGTCCATTTTTTTTTCTTGACTTTAGCTAAATTATGAACTCGCTTCAATTTCTGATGGCCACTTTAAGAAAACT